TAAAACTGTAACTGGAGCGTGTAACAAAAGTAATTTCCCTCTGGGATTATTAAAGTATTTCTGATTCTGATCACAATCGCTAAACCACTTCTTTTCCACAAGAGGGCGACGTTACACCAGAAGCTGAGCTGATCCTAGACAGAACATATAAATATAACTATGATCCATGTTTAATTCAGCAGAGAAGAGTCCAAACTAGCAGGCATTGAGCTGCAAATCTTTATTGTTTTTTTTTTATTCAAAGTAAGTCCATTAAGCATAAAGACTGCATGGTAATTCCTTGCATTGTGATACATTCTGAGCTATAAAAATTGGTTTGTTTCAGTTAGATGTGTCACAAAGAAGGGCAGTTTAGAAGATACCACTGTTAACAGACTCACACACAGATATTCCCTGATTTTACAGAGTCCAAGCCGATTTCTGTGAGACGACCCGCCGCTGCCCGTCATCGCCCGTCTTCCTCCAGAGAACGAACATGCAACAAGCTTTGGAACAATCTCATATAAAACCGATTAAGTCGACATCTTTTAGGGAGAAGAAGAAGAAGAAGAAAAAGCATTCATTGTGCTTGAAATGATCTGCAGATGTTGGACTGTCGAATCCGCATGCAAAAGAATCTAGAGCAGCACAGTGATGCCACCATATTCTAGTTTAAGTTTAAGTTCCAATCAAATTATCACCTATAAATCATTTTCAGCACTATGAAAACAAGGGAACATTTTGCAGACTTTTGACTGTTTTATTAAAAGGAAGAAAAAAAAACACTTCAAAGAAAAATGTGTTGCTTTAACTTTACTTTGAAAAAAAAAATGAGACAACGAACATCAATGTCTCCTCTTTGTCATTATTTGCAACACTTTCTCTCACTGAAGCTTTATTCATACTTTCATTGGTAAAGAAAGTTGAAAAAAACAAAAACCCTAAGATAACATTTAATTTAACACATTCACACAGTCCCTTCCCTCCCTCCCTCGTCCACTACATCAAAGCCCCCACATACCAAAAGAAGGCACCACAGCTTCTAAACAGACTCACCCACCAAGAAAAGGACTCGACAAAACCGACGTCTTTAAATGAAATTGGACTCATGGCGCCCGGTGGGGGGTTCATTCACATAAAAGAATAACAGAGGTCTCCAAAGAGACGCCCAAACCGGTGAGACTGGTGCAGCTTCTGGGGGTCAGGCATTAACAGTCTCCTCTTCGTCCAGGACCTCAATCAGAGGCTCAGGGGGTTCATCTCAAAGCATTATAGGGGGGGGGACTGGCGCTACATGAAGACGAGCCGGCTTCCCGTCTCTGTGCTCTTTTACTTCACCTATCCGCCTGTTTCTTTAGGGTCCAGAGGGCTGCTACATAACATCATTCATGCAACGATCCTTCGTGTTGCATAAACCCACAGGATTCAATCCCTCGGTTTTCCGCATGAATGAAACCAGAAGTTGTTTTCTAGAAATGCATCGGATCTGTTTCAGTGTTCAATTCCTTATAACACTTGACTCTTTTAAAATAGAGTCTGAGGATGGGGGAGGGGAGGGGAGGGGGGGTTAAGACAGGAGCCCCGCACGTCTGTGTGGGTCCAGAGTCAGTGGGGGGGGATGGGGGGCGGGCTGCCTTATTAGTTCACTTTGTCCTGGAAGATGTAGAGGTTGTTGGTGGCCGCTACGGCAATGATGTTCTCGTGCGGATGCCACGTGGTGTGGAGGATCTTCTTGCTGAAGTCCAGGCTGTCTACGCTGATCTCATCCTTCCGTCGTTTCCCACCGACGCAAACCTGAAAGCGCAGAGGGACACTCAGCTGTTTGACATTCCCTTTTTCAAGGTTCNGTATTTATTATTTCTACATCAGATTTGGCATTGAAGAAACAGCAATGATGTTTTTTTTTATTATTATATTTTTTCTGAACAACTAAAAAGAAATCACATTTTTAGGGGAGATATTATCAAGAATATACGGAAGAGGATTACGGCCACTGGAAAAAAAAAAAAGTTAACTGATTTTTAAATTTTATTTCAGTTTAATATGGGAAAAAAGTCAGAATTCTGACTTTAATCTCAGAATTTTGGATCTTAATGTAGATGGGCATCATGAAGGAAGAGATGTGGAGCACTCAGCTTCACTGACAAAGATGGGAGTTGTTTGAGGTGGCCAGTGACACATTGGTGGAAAATGGCGGAATTAGGCAACTTTTTACGTTGCCGAGGGGTCCCCTCATTAATGGAGGAGCAGAAGGTCATTAAAACAAGAGAGCTAGTCTCTAAAACAGACATGGCTATGGTTTAATGCTAACATGTTTGTTAGCTGTCAGAATTCTGGGAAGAAAGTCAGAATTCTGAGAAAAAAGTCAGAATTCTGACTTTTTCCCCATGTTAAACTGAAATAAAATTTAAAAATCAGTTAACTTTTTTTTTTTCCGTGGCCCTAATCCTCTTCCATAAGAAGCAGCTGCAACCCTCCATGACTGATATATATTAGATAGAACCATTAATTTAATAATTGCATTTAATCAACATTTGATTTTAAGGGTTCCTAAAATCTGCACATTTTAAACTGATTGTATTTAATCATCTGCAGCTGTCTAGAAAGCATCTAAAGTTTTTGGGTGATTACAGACTGGCATTAGGACCCTTAAATAATCCACCTTCATAAAAATCCTAGTTGTCACATGCAGAAAAATACCAGCAGATGGCGCTGTTTCCTTCAGTATTTCTGTCAGCCTCTGGTGAGCCTTCCTTATATGGAAAGTCATGAGGGCCACAATACAATAAATTAATCATTATAATTTAATTATTTAAATGCGTCTTTAATATATTTAAACTGGAAATAACCGAATTTAATGATTTTATGAAGGGAATATGATTATTTCATGGTTCTGTGCATGAGCACACAGTGAAT